TTTTCCAGCAGCAGTTGCCAGAATGTCCCCCTAAAAACTACGTCAATAAATGACACAGTGCAGTGAAAGTTGTGGAAGTGTACCAGCAGCTGAGGTTGCCAGAAGTTCTTTATGAAAATCTTCAGAGACAATAAGTTAAATCCTAACATATCTCAAAAACCAAAAGTCCAGGGTTTGGAAGCGACGAGGCAGCCGCACATCATCTGAGATGTTACAGATGTTCTTACTCTCTGCTTCGTGGTTTAGAATATAATCAGTGATAATGTCCAATCTAGGAAATGTACTGTGGCCCATTTGACTGAGTTATTGTCTTTAYAGCAGCTCGCGGTGAATTTTAAACAGAAATGTAATCACTCTGTAGCCCCGGAGGAGAACACGGACCCCTCCTCATTGAATCTTGACTCTTGGCCAATCTGAGCCGCTGACGCTCATCTGAAGCTTGCATTCGAGTTTTGTATGAAACCCAAGCGCTCCGAATTTCATTCAAGTCATCCGTTCAGTTCCTCTTGTTTGAATTGTGCTCATTGTGTGTTTGTTTTGTTCTGCTCGTTTCCTAAGTAGGACACTGACTCCTCCTGTGAAGATGAGATGGAAGATTAGCTCTTTTATTGGGGTGTTTTGAAACCATCGAGGCCCTGTGTGATTCATTCTCCACATTTTTGAAGATAGCTGGGGGATTGAAAGGAGCTATTCGGGGTTTGTTTACGCTGTAGGCCAAGAAGGAAATATAATGGAGACTTATGTCTGTTGTAACACAAGCAAACAGATGGTTTAGGTACGTTCGATTTCGAGTTAAACATGGAGGGAGGTGAAGTCTGATTTGAGAAAATGAACTATCTTTGAATTTAAGTGAGGGTCACTTAATGTGCTTGTTGAGAGGTGAATGTTGAGGTCACAGATATTGATGACCTGAAAAAAAGCCTGTTCTTTTCCAGCTTACTTGAGTCAATACATAGGAACCMTGATTTTCACAGGGATTAAGTTCTTTCTGCGAATCGTGAATAAATGTGAATACTGGATGAGCTCCAAAAACAGACAGTTTGAGTGGCATTGTAAAGTGGTAAGAACCAAACAATAAAACATGAGGGTGAAACAGTTAGCAGCTGTACAGTAAACTGTTAAAAATTWAAAAAATGCTGCACTCTGGGTCAAGCGTGGGCACAGGGCATGCGTCGTGTATCGTAATGTGCTTTTTTAAAAGATGGAACTGTATTTACATTCATGTTTATGTTATAAAAGATTGAGTCCGCATATTGTGAAAGATAACTTTGTGGGTGTCCTGATGCATCTCAGTAATTCAGGTAGAAAAAATCAAAAAGAAAAAATAAGTAGGTCCTCTGGATGTGTTCTTCTTTAGTGAAACGTTTCGTCTCTCCTCCAAGAGACTTCTTCAGTCTGATGAGTTTCAGGTGAACTCAGCCTTATAAGCACTGCCTCCACATGGACAAACAGGTTAGTCACATGCAAAAGATGGCCATCGCTTAACAATAGGCTTGATTAGCTCTATTGTTCATAGAGGGTCATGTGCTCCATCACCTGACTTATTGGTTTGGATGCTTCGGCTGTGGTTAATTGGTGTTGTGTTATGTGTAYATAGTGAGTGCAAGCAGGGTTCACCGTCCCTTTGTAGAGACAAAAACAAAGGGACGTTGAACCCCGCTTGCACTCACTACTAACGCGACACCAAATAACCAGCCAAAGCATCCACACCAATAAGCCAGGTGATGGGGCACATGACCCTCTATAAACAATAGAGCTAATCAAGTCTATTGTTAGGTGATGGCCCTCTTTTGCATGTGACTAACCTGTTTGTCCATRTGGAGGCAGTGMTTATAAGGCTGAGTTCACCTGAAACTCATCTGACTGAAGAAGTYTCTTGGAGGAGAGATGAAACATTTCACTAAAGAAGAACCCATCCAGAGGACCCACTTATTTTTTCTCTTTGATAACTTTGTGGGGCTTTGCTGGATTAATATTTTCACCCTTTTTTCTGCCCCCCTCCCCCATTCCCTGTTGTCCCCCCCACCAACAGATGTGAATCTACAACACCGCCCGGTGGCCAGCAGGCAGTACTACACTCTGCCTAGCAATGGGACGGGTGTAGAAAGGAGAACGTCCGCTTCCCCTGTCAGCATCAACTTGGAGTCGCCCCATTTTCACCCGCACGCAAAGGGCAAGAACATCAGGCTAGACGGGCAGCTTCGCCGTGCTACGCGCAAGAACAGCTTCTGTAACGGCATCACGTTCACCCACCGCCCGGTTCACCTTTACGAAAAGGTTGAGTTCATCTCTTTAGTTTTAACTTTTTGTATGAACTATGTAAATTGAATGAGGTCGTTCAGATCCTTTAAATGGGGATTCTGACAGTTGGTATCTAAATGTTTACCATTTCAACAATGGCCACAACCAAACATTTGCTGCCTGAAAACAACTTCAACTTAAAAAATCTCTCCTATTAAACACACACAAAAATTAAGTAGGTCCTCTGGACGGGTTCTTCTTTAAGGAAACATTGGTTAATGAAACAAGGCTGCTGGTCCTCCTTTGCATGTGAACAGACAGTGTTGATGGTCATTGTTGAACCTGTTTGTCCACCATGTGAAGGCAGTGCTTATAAGTCTGAGTTCACCTGAAACTCCTCAGACTGAAGAAGTCTCTTGGAGGAGAGAGAAAACATTTCATTAAAGAAGAAGCCGTCCAGAGGACCTATACAATTTTTTATTTCTACCTGGATTACTGAGATGCATCAGGGCACTCCTGTTACACAGTTATTGAAAGTGGTTGGTCAAAGACCAGAACAGGCAAGTTATTTATTGTTTGTGACTTTTCTAAGGAACCCCAACCTCAGAAGATCTGAACTATCCCTAGAGGGTTATAATAATATTACATTTTTCTAGGTGCGACTACGTTTGACTGGCGTCCACACTGGCTGGAGTGGAGCCCTGCGCTTTGGCTTTACCAGCTTGGATCCCAGCGATCTGGTGGCCACCGACATCCCCAAGTACGCCTGCCCAGACCTGGTGACACGGCCCGGTTACTGGGCCAAGGCCCTGCCTGAGAGACTGGCATCCAAGGATAACGTGTTATCGTTCTGGGCCGACCGCCATGGACGGGTTTTCTACAGCATCAACGACGGAGAGCCCATCCTCTTTCACTGCGGGCTCAGCATCGGCTGTCCACTCTGGGCCATCATCGACATCTACGGCATCACCCAGGAGGTCTCGCTACTCGGTGAGGAATTTATTCAGCTGTGAACACGCTTGCTTTTTCGTTTGGACTGCAACCAAGCAGCTGTCCTTTGTTTTAGTAAAGGATATTTTCCCTCACTGGTTTAACTCTGCTGGCTTTTGTGTTTAGAACATATGTTTGACAAACGCCAGGGATGTCTTCCTATAATACCAGAACTAAAGAAAGCAGCACTAAAGACTAATTTGGAGGGAATGCTGCCTGGGATGTTTGAGTGATGGATGATCTTTGTGTTAAAACCAACCTGTGTTTGTCTACAAAAAAAAACGTTTTTGTCTCAAATTGGCTGACATGATTACCAGAAACGAAGAACAGATGTCAGTCTGCTCCTTTGACACTCTCTTAGTATCTCTTTCCTTCATTTTGCCACTTTCTACCTTCACTCCACCTTTATTCCCACCAGCCTCTCTCATACATGTCGGGTGTGTTTATCCTTCGGCTGACAGCAGCTATAGAGCCATGTTTGGTCAGGGAGGCTGATCCCAGGAGTTTCAGCGAGGGGCCAACGTGCTCGACTGTTCCAGCATCTCTAGAAATGGTGGTAAAGGAATGTAACATAAGTCAAAGGGGAGGGGAACAAGAGTGCCAGACTTGTTTATTTCAGTCCATAAAGAAATGGCACCGTGCTGTGGACTCTCTGTATCTGTGCAGTTTACAGAGCTTGTCTTAGTAAGTTAAATAATGTGGAAAAGATCTGTAAACTTCTGGCTCGCAATGCTTATTTGTGCTTAAAACGAGAGGTTTATTTGACTCCGCTACAAACATCACAACAAGAGCAACGTTCGAAGGCCGCTAAGTAAAGATAATTATTCTAGCCTGTTTGCTGCTTGTGATATGTTTGAGTAAGAAAAAATAAACCTAACTACCCGCAGATTTAAGATAAATGGAGTCTATTGTAATTTGGTAACATGTATAATGAATTGCGGCCATGTGTGATGATTAGTCTTTAAGTGTAGAATTTAACCTTTTAACAAATGTCATTAAATTCACCAAAATAGTTTTTAAAGGTGATAATCCTTAAGCACTGTATCACTTTTCTGTCTATTCCATTAAAATTTTGCCTTGYATTTCATGGCATAGGTTTGAAGTAAAAATCAACATCAAAATGTCATGCATGTCAACCCCTTCTATTACCTGCGCCTTGACCCTCAGAAATCTGTAATTTTCACAAAAATCTGCAGTAGTCTCACACAGTACAGGGGTGATGGAGTAGACTGTCAGCAGTGGGGGGTTGGGTCTGAGACTTAAATAAGCTTGAAGTGAAATTCGACGCAAAGGTTTTGAAAAAAAAATTGCAAGATTTTCTCTTTATGTCTGTATACATGTAAAATGGGGAGAAAGCCGTGTAATTTTACAAAACAATTGGTACAATTTGACATGCATGAATGTGTGTTTATTGAGAACAGAGTGTTATGACTTTTAGGGAGTGAAACATTGTAAAACATAAACGACATCTGACAAAAACTGCATGAGAATAAACAAAGGAGATCAATGGGAAATGAGGGAAACACCTGAGAAAATCTAGCCCTCCTTGGAGCTCTATAGATCAGACAAACACCACAGATGAAATGTCATTCATAGTTTATAAAAAGGTCAGAGAAAATTGGAGTTTGTATACCAGAACTGATATTTTATAGTTTTATAATTCGTTATAATTTTAAGTTTTATAAATATTGGGGATTTTTCTGTGGATTGATCAACTCAGAGTTGACGATGTCACACACTGACCTCTGCAAACAAACTCTTCTTACTCCAGAATCTTTTTTGAGTACATGATACAAATAATACAGTAATACATAGGAATTTATGTCTGTTTTTCACAGTTTCCCTCTCACTCTTTTAGGACTTGTGTTTTTCTCTCATATCTCCCCAGAATATAGAGAGCACACAGCCAAACATCCACAGACTTCAGTACAGGGTGAGTCGAAAATCTCCTGACGGCCTTTTATTTTGGAAAGAAAAGGGGAAATAACATCTGAATACATCAGCAAGTAACGGGATGTTATCTTTTAGGCCATGTCCAGAAAGCTGCCCTATTGGATCAAAAATAAAAGGGTGTCCTGTGACTTTTGACTCACCTTGTATTTTAAAATATTCTCTTCAAAACTGGAAGTGAAAGGTCTTGAACTTGTCATAAAAACATCATAGAAACATAAAAATTCACACATGTCAGTGTCATGGAGCACTCATGGTTCAAGAATTACAAATTTTGCACAGCAGCTRTTTGTTTCAGGCTTACTTTGAAGTCTTTTGTTGACTTCTCACTAATTTGCAGAGGTGGGCAGAGCACCAACAAGTTCTTCTCAAGTAAAAGTAGCTTCATTTCAACATATCTTTACTCAAAGAAATGTAGAAATTAGACATCCAAGAAATTACTCAAAAAAGAATAATAAAGTAATTTGTAAAAAGGCTACTTGAGGACAGAGTAACTGATAGTAACATCTGAATTAATAGTTTAAAATGCTGTCAGACAGACACAAATATAAAGTTGAGTTGGGTGCGATATCTGGTGTTATAAAAGACTACAATGAAAAAAATGAATACAAATGAATCGCATTTAAAGAATAATTAATTCTAGAAGAAAAAGTGTGTGTGTGTGTGTGTGTGTGTGTGTGTG